GGCTAAATACAAATAAAAAGTGAACCTTTTTTTTTTTTTACTGTTTTTATTTAAAAAAAAAAATTATATAATTTTAATAGGAGGAGCCTAGAGGTATTATAGACAAATTCAGTTTGCAGACAACCATTGTGCGTGTCCTCGGCAGTTTTTTCCTGAGGCTTTTTAATATTGTCCATATCGATATCGGAATTATATCGTATCGACCAAAATTAAGAAATATATCGTGATATAAATTTTTGCCATATCGTCCAGGCCTACCTTGACCTCTGAGTAATAACATAGATCTTTGTGCTAGCAGTCATGAATAGAAATTAAATGAGTATAAATAAATTGTAACATCAAAAACCACAATAATAAATAAAATTTTACACTTTGTTTTGTAATTTAATTTAATTTTCAAATTTGCAAACTGATGGAAAAGCTTTAAGAAGTCGGCTCTGTGAGTATCTGCACAGACAGGCAAAGAGGGATCCATGCAACAAATGTTCTCTGCAATTACAGAAAGAGGCACCCTGGCTTAGTCTCTCCATGTTATTGAAATGGTTTATTCATCTGGATTAATCACCTGTCTTCTGCTTATCCCAAGCAGGGTTACCCTGAGCTTGGAGCCCACCCCAGCAAACACGGGGCACCGAGAAAGAGGATGAGACACCACTGGGGGAAGAGACTGAATGCAAGCTACACATACCCAGGGACACACATGCAAAGTCCACACGCTCCAAGGCCAGGAATCAATGTGTATGAAACAATACAAATTTCTAGTGAGCAAGTGTTCCCTGCCGGCTTGTGTGTTTAACAAACACTGCAAATATGTATAACGCAGTGGTTCTTAATCCAGTGCTCATGCCCCCTCCCCTATCGAGTCAACATTTGTCTTTGGATTCACCACTTGCAGAACTGATTTCACTTACTGATGAATTATAAGAAGGCTGTTTACGTGATGGACTTAGAATGTGAGAACCAGTGGCCACCGTACTCTTTAAATGAGTTTTTCCACACAAAGTTAAAAACTGAGCAGGTTCAAAAGTTGTAACTGCTTACTACCATTTCAGGATCAAATAATAAATCTCTCAACCATTTCTTCAGGTCATGAAAATTATTCCTGCAACTGATGAAGATCTCTCGATCACAATTTCGGCTCTCCATAAAGGCTATGGCTGATATGGTACATCAGTAAAATACCTTGATTGCATTGACAAACAGAAGAGTCAAACTGGACATGATGAGAGTTTTAAATAGTTTAATCATGTTTTTGTCCACTTGCCTACAAGGCTCCATCATCATATCCTTTCTTGTTGCTTATATTTTAACCATTGGTTTTTTTTTTTCTTGATCTTTACAGTTTTTCGACATGTATGTACTTGAATTCTTTGTAACATCTTATTTTTAACATCAGTATCCTAGGGGCACCACAATGGCATCATACCTTCCAGTGTTGTGGCTGATTGCCGCCTCCAGCTCTGACTGCACATTCTGCACATTCCATGTGCGTTTGTCTGGGTATTCTTAGGATACCCTGGTTTCCTCCCACATCCAGAAAACATATGGTTCAAGGAACCAGCATCTATAAACTGCCCTTGCTGTGTAATTGAGAGTGTTTGCCCAGTGATGAACTGGCTGCCCATCCAGGGTTCCCTTTGTGTCCTGCAGTTCACGGGTGGCTAAAAAATACACAGCTCTGGAAAAAATGAAGAGACCACTCTATATATATTTTTTTTAAATATGCATTTTTAATTCCTGGTTCAATCTCGGGTCTGCTGGCAGAAGACTACAGTGTGTGGCAGGCTGATTCCGGGCTCAAAATTTCTAAGACTGCAGTACACAAGAAAAAAGTGAAGGAGGAGACACTTGCAATAAACAAAAACCAGAGGTGGAGATTTCAGGTCCAGGGAGAACAAATCCAGACCAAGATTTTGTTTCAACCAACCAGCTGAGTACTCTGTGACTGTGACTCTTTATACTCAACTGGTTGGTTGAAACAAAGTCTTGGTCTGGATTTGTACTCCCTGGAGCTGAAACCTCCACCTCTCCCAAAACCAGCCAGGTAAAAGGCACAAGCAACTTTCTAATGCCAAAGATGACCGTCAACTTATCCGTCAGTGCCACACAAATCGGAGGAAGACCTCAAGAGACAAATGTATCGTTTACACAGGCACATACCCATAAATTGAGAAATGAGTGAAAGTGAAAATTTTGCTATGGTCTCTTAGCTGTAGATGATAGATACAGCCACTGGTTAAGATGCTCTAAACATTTCCCATTTGTGGTTCCTCAGTGGTGGATTGAGCTACCTATCCACCACTGGTCATAAGTATCCCTTTCAGCATTCAAGATACACCTCAAGATTGTGTTCTAGGAACACCTCAGCTAGCCCTAAAATCATTGTCCTGGTCTGTGATCCTTCAGCTGGTCTCTTGTATATCCATGTATTCTCTTTTTGCACTTTGAGATTTGAATAACTCTCTTATTAAGTTCCTCCTTTATCTATATGCAGTGTACAGCTCTTGTGCTCATGCTGACACTGCTAACAGTCATTCACTGGATGCTCAGTCTAGCTGCACTTATGCCTAGTTGGCTCACGAACAACTGTAAGCATGTAATGCACCGTCTGGGACACTTGTACTTCGTTTTGGATAAAAGCGTTTCTTAATAAATTAATCGTAATGTAAAGACAAAACTTTTAACATCCATCCATTAAGAATAACTACTTATACTGTACAGTTCAGAGTCAAGGTGGACCTGAAGTCTATCCAGAACGTACAGGACAAGGGAAATCTAAATAAAAATAAATAGATAAACCAAAAAATTACTAAGAAATACAGACAAAACTTACGCCCTAATACATAAGACGAAGAGCTGTCACAGCCCCGTGACTCAGGTACTGTAGCTGTCAAGGCTAACAGTCTGCCCACAGCTAAACAACTTCTACTTTGATGAACGTTACACTTACACGATACACCTAGAGGTATTAAAACCAAAGCAGAGCTTCGGTTTTGTTCCATCCCAAGTTCTGGCTAACTGCAGCAGCAACCTGCCACAATGCGGAGAGGGAGGGACACACACACACACACACAATCACAATGAAACACAGAAAATGTCTCAGGACGTCGCACTTAATCCCTTATTGTAAATGTGCCAATTTACACACCTTCTCAAGAGTATTCTTTGTATATGCAGGCTCAGCAAAGCAAAAGACAGACATAAAAAGATGTGATGAATACACCACTTAAACGGACTCGTATATTCAAAACTTCCAAATGCTTAGTGCTTTAAAATCACCACATTATCTCAGCACTTCTGGTGAGAGTCTTGGCTCCATTCAAATCATCAGGAGTATAAATTCAACATAATATATTGTCTTGTGCAAGTTAAAAAAATTGATTTCTGGATTTTACTAAGACACGCAAGACAATAAGGAATATCTGCTTCATTAACTTTATTCTCTGATAACTTGTATTAGGAAATTAAACTCCACAGGCAATACACCTGGCTGCACAATTCTGATAAGAATTACATAACATTTTCTAGAAGCTAAGACAAAGCATTAAATAGAATAAGATAAGGAATGCTGTCAAATTTAGAAGAAATGGCAAAATGTAGGAAAAGGCTGAATGATCACATCCATCTCCACACCTACCCTCAAATATACTCTGTTGTGACATGAATGCACTCTCCAGTCAGCTCAGAAAAGGTCTGAAGCAGGGGTGGGGAACCTGTTCCATTGAGGGCCGGTGCGGGTTTTTGGGATGACCTTTCATCAGCCAATCACAGTGGGTCCCCAGGACTGGAATTGAGAACCACTGTTTTATTATTGACTGACTGAGAGGTCATCCCAAAAACCCGCACTGGCCCTCAATGGATCAGGTTCATGTGTATGTTAGAGGGTGGGTATGGAGATGGATGTGATCATTCAGGTAAGAAACTGAAAGTGAAAATAAAATGAAAGAAATTATTATTAACTACAAATCTCAAGCTTGGGTTGCTTCCACCTCCACATTGCAAACAAACTGTATATTTATAACAATTCAATAACTTTCTTTCAAGAAGATATGGACAGGGATATAAAATTATATGAAGCCCATTATATACTTACAATTCCCTTTAGTGAGTATGCAATAACCACTGCATAATTCTGGTGTAGGTGTGTGTGAGTGTGCCCTGCGATCGGCTGGCCCCCCATCCTGGGTCGTTCTCCACCTCGTGCCCATAGCTTCTGGGATAGGTTCCGGAGCCCCCCGCGACCCAGAAGAATAAGCGGTTTGGAAAATGGATGGATGGATGGATAATTCTGGTGTACAGACATAATGCTATCATTACTAATAATGTGTAGATTCTTTGACCTAACACATTTTTTCTTGTTTTTGTTTTGTATAGAAATAATCATCATTCTGTATATGTGGGAAAGTCATGACCTTCTTGTGTTTGTATGAGTTTTCTGTGGGACCTCCAGGTGGTCACAGTCCAAAAATGTGTGTCCCGGTGCTGGATAATCAAATATTGAAGATAAAATAATAAAAACAACTTTAGTTAATGAGGGAACCAAAATACACTGAAAGCACAGGTGTTTTTCTGAACCTTATTAAGCAACAGAAATGCATTCATGCTTACGGCCATATATGAACAATACCACACAGGGGCAGGTGTTCTGTATGCTGTCTATTATAGCAAAGAAAGACCTCAATGACTTTGAGGGGGGGGGGTGTATGTGGCAGGGAAAAAAACTGCTGAACACAGGTTTAGTGAGCAGTAAAACAGTCATATGATCAGAGTAGTTAATCTGATCTCATGTGCGGTTTACACCAAAAGAGACATACAGCTTTGAGCACTTTCTACAGAGAAGCACATTATGCCGTGAACTGCATTTTTCCATCATGGTTCAGAGTCATTTAACCCCTTGGACGGTAAATGGTAAGAAATTCAGAGTGATTCAAAACAGTGTGCAATCTATGGTAAAACACTACTACTCTTCTAACGGGTATGAAATTTTCCAGGTTGACAATGCCTCCATCCACCAGGAACACATAAAGACAGTACGGTTTTATGACCATAGAAACAACCATTGTTATGGCTTTCTCAGTCATGATGTCATTTCTCATCGAACAATGGGGTTACATCTATCCAGTGGATTTCCAAGTGCTCACAGAATGGACGCCAAGTATTGAATTAGTATTGAGCACTTCTAGCAAGCAAAGGTACCGTACTATGTCAGGCGTTCCTTTATTTTCTGAGTTGCTTGTAGCTACATTTAATGGCTCTAGCCGTTACATGCCTTCATTACAAAATTCAAATAATGCTATTTACAAAGTCACTAGGCTAAATTAAGGAAACTGACTCAGAGATTTGTAATTTATTAGATTATTTTACTGTTTTATACTTTTCTGAAATTTTCAAAATTTGATGTAAATATGTCTTAAACATTACATCAGGGCAAGCTCTTGACTGGAAGTTGGTTGTCTTGTCATTCAGACGTACAAATGATGCAGTATATACAGAAATGCACACCAACACACAGATTTACACAAAAATCTGACTGAGAAATTCAACCTAACCGATAAAGACAAAAGACAGCACAGTAAAACTTATATTTGCACTCCGTCCTACTCAAAATTCTTGAGAAGCAAGTAGCCCATGAGGTGTGGGACAAAAGGCTGTGTGTTCCTCCGGGATTCAAAGCAACATCTCTGCACTCTCTCCTCCAACAGGCCAAAATATGACAGCCTACTGATTCCAGCTGCCGACCAAGGATCCGCTCAATCGCGGCTCTGTTTCGGAACACAGCTTCTTTCTAAAGGACGGTTGGGCACCTTCCCATTATTGCAGAACACCAGGCGTATTTCAAAGGCAAAGCATTCGGAGGCCTTGACTAGCCAACAGAGAGCAGAAGAATCAAGACAACTACGGCTGCAAATTTTACAAAAAGTTTATTTAAAAGATGCCAGAGCCCTTCACACTGGAGATGTAAGCAATCGAGCCTGGTCATGACTTCATTATATATGGCTCAGTAGACAACAAAGCAAGCATCAAGGTCTGACCCTGGGATCTGGCCTGAGTATTTATATACAATACAGTACCTGTAATCAATCAAAGGTGAATGAAAAGGTTTGTAAGTACCTTCACATCTCTGAAAATAGAGTCCATTGGGCAAGCCTCAATAATAAGAAGACTATGACAGAATTTACCAACACTATTACAATTGTGGGATTCAGTAAACTAAGGATTTAACTTTAGTTCATATGAGAAACGTAAAAGACACATATTCGCCATCTCAAGTCAAGGCAATAGCAAAATGCAGTTGTCTACTAAGTTGAGGAGCACGGATGAACTTAAAATTCTGTCTCATACGCATTTCAGATTCCTCTGATCGGTGCAAATAATGTGCTAACGGCAGCTAGTGGGGGAAGAGACAAGTGAGGAAGAGAAAATCAGACTCAGGTCCCTGACTGTACAAAGGTAGAATCCCATTAACATCACAGAAGGGCTCAGTTACATAAATCAGAACTGATCATTTATTTCCTCATGTACCACATATGCAGTTCCTAAGAGTTTGCCGGAGTGCTTGAAAACAACACTAAACTGAGCCTTATCCTCAGTGGGTGCAGTTTTGTGAAAAAATGTGGAATTATCTGCATTGCTAAAACCCTGCTGATGGCACTAATACATAGTGTAAAAAAGCATAGACCTGAAATTTGGCCACTTTGTCCCAACCCAGAGGAGGGTCAGGCACAGTGAAAGGCTGGATCTAAGGATGAGAAACTAATAGAAGGACCCACTGAGCTACATGTTCATCATTCTCATATGTGGTGGAAGAAAGATCTTCAGGATCAGTGCCTAATAAAGTTAATTAGTCAGGCAATCCGCTTATGCTACTAATCTATATGAACAAACAAAAGGTTATGAGATGGTGGCTAACCGTGGGGTAAACTGCCGATGCCCCAAGCTGATATTGAAGATCGGAACTGGGGCCAATCCCGGCATTTTTTATTTGATCAGTTACAGCTACCACAGCCCGTTCTATTTAATTTTCCGTGTCCGCCTCATTTTCATCAGTTGTGCAGTCACACGCTGCAGTAAGCCTGAGGCATATGGCTTGAAGCTACTATTGAGATCTCAGCCGTGTGGAAAATCTTTAAATTGGAAACTCCAAAGTGGCCCAACAGCTACCTGCAATGTCTGCAATGTCATCCTTTCAAGAGGAGGTAGCAACATAATGTCGTTAATTATAACAAATCTTATTAGACACTTGTAGAAACATCGTAAGGAAGAATACTGCGAAACTGTGAGACTTACTCAGACCAATAATGCACCAACACCTACTGTATGTGTAAGTATATTTAAATATTTATTAAAAGATCAGATTGGGGTCGATATTGGGGGTGTCTGATTTTGTCTGAGTGATTGAAAGTGCCAATGATCATATAAAATATAGAGCCCCCCCCCCAGCCTACAAACTTTATCGAGGGGAAACCCCCCCCCCCCCCCTTTTAGTCTATGCATGCCACTGCCTAGGATGTATATTCCCCTGCAGCATCAACATTGATCAACAGATAGATTTCACAAGAAAAAAAACTGATGAAAATCAGTGTGGGAAATATTACAGGAATTAAGAGTTTCCCGCCCTATTCACTGCTAAAACTCTGTTTTGATGAATTCACATGCTTCTCTTTCTAAGACCACAACCACCTGTCCCAAACTTATTTACTCCCATAGAAATAATGGACCATTGTCTGTTAATGTGGGGTACATGAACCTCTGGTGAATTTTTAGAACGTACAAAGTAATAGTCACCTGTAGGAGATAGCAATAATCACGTGTCAAGTACAGAATAGCCAATAGATTTAGGAGCATTAACCAAATTTTTATATATTGTCTGAGTAAAAAAAAAATCTGTTTTATCCCATCAACAAAAGACCCTTCCTTCGTGCAGGGATGTAACAGTAGAGTATTTAGAGCCAATGCAAAAAAAAAAAAAACTGGTGTGAACACTGAACAGTTCCTACTGCATTACTCATAAAACAAATCTGTTGTATCTGACAACACATGAATGGGCGCCATTGAGCTGGAAGATCCTGCCAGAGCTTTTGAAGATTAATGCAACACACCTATGCTTCCAGAGGACAGATTTCTAAGTTACCAGTGCAGCCGTAAAGACTGCTGCAGTTTCCCAGAGGCTAAAGCACAAATTCTAAAGAGGGTTTTTAAAAATCGTTGCTGGGGCGCCCATCCTCCTTGTACCGAGTTCTCCGGAATGATCCGGGTGCATCTGGGCACTATGTTTCCCTCCACAGTTCTGAAAATGTGGCTAGGTTTTCTCATTACATGACAAAATACTAATCTGCAGTCTGGAAGCACAACACAGGAACGATGCAGTTTAACATTTGTTTGAGTGTTTTTTTAGATGTTGGTGTCATTATTCTTTTGTGACATTTTATGGCACAGTTCTCTGCATAACCTGAAAGAATAATTTCATCAAGTTGCTTCAAAACATTTTGCCTATAATTTAATAGGTAACCATCTAACTGAGCCCAAAGTATCAATACACCAAAGGACGACCTTTTAACAAGGAAGCAACATATTTTTTCTCAGAAAAAGGCAAAATGGATTTAAAAAAAAATGTTTTTATTAAAGCTATATTAACCAAAGACAACAAGAAGGAAATTCACATGAAGCTAATTTATAATATAACAGTCAGTGCATCATCTGCAATAAACTTTAACTGCCAAAAATATGACACCCCAATTTCCTTACTCCAAATTTGTCTTATCTATTAATATTATATGTCAAAGAAAACAAAAATGAATGGCAAAGCTGCTGGCTTCTGCTTTATGTCTATTATAACCAAAGAGAGTGAGAATATGGAGAACACAAAAAAATGAACCGTTTTAAATAGTGACATTAATTTATGATCAACTACTGATTTTCATTAAAAAGATGGTTTACAGTACTGTACTTAAGTGCTAAAGTAGAAATAATAATAATAAAGTGTTTAAAATCCCGAACAAAAAAGTCCACACAACAAGACCAAAAGATCCAAGTACCATAAAAGAAACTTGTTATTGAAAGCACCTGTTTTAATGGACCAATAACAGGTCCTTAGGGGGCAATGCAATTCCTTCCATGAGATTACAGTAGCTGGTCTTACTTTGTCAATCATTGCAGTACTTCAAGTGAGACTGTATTATAGTAGAATAGTAGCCAGTGATGCTGATAATTACATTTATGATGCAGTGGTATATTCTACTTCAGAAACACACAAAATTACAACAAAATTTGTTTTGCACAACGATTATATTTATAAGCACAATTATACACAGTTACTATTTTGGCAAATACAACTAATTGATAAAACACTGCAGTACCTGTATGTCTCCATGAATTTTAAACCAACGGGTTTCTCGTGAAGTATTGCGCAGGGTTAAGCATTTATACAAGTTACACATAAGTTCTTATGAGTCTATTTAGAATGTTCAGAAGTTACTGATGTGTCTATAAACATTCAGCGAAATGAATATACATTAATGACAAATTATGTTAGATTTAAAACAGGTAATAAATTATCTGCATCAAACAACGTTTTGTTTATTATACGGTCATTGTTTAAAAAGTGTCCATTCGCGCTCAACAACCCGCTCTCTACACCGAGCATAGTATTAAATACATAATTAATTAATTGCCTTAATTGTGTGCATGCCTAAGAACTAGCAAAATGCGTCTAAAAGAGTAAAGTTTGAATGGTTTCAAATGAAATGTTTTACGATATATGCTCTACTCTTTAAAGTGTTTCATTGTAACCTCCGAAATATAAACAGTGTATTTTAAATTTATGATGTACAAATCCATGAAAGCAACAGTACATTTTTAAAGATCACCATACTTAAACTGTACTGCTGAGTCATTAGGGCAAGAAGTAACTGACAGGTTGGTGGGAGAATCGACCCATAGTCTGACCCATGTGTGACTTACCTGGGCGGATTAAACACAACATGCATTTTTATTTAACTATGACGTAAAATACTCTAACGTGCTGCCATAATAATCAGGTTCTTGTTGTTAACTTTTGAAAAGACACGAATTAAGATCTATATAAATATAACGTACAGAATATTCTTTCGTGGCGAAATTCAAAAACACTCCGCGTGTTTTATAGACACTAGTTTTCAAAAAAAAAACTAGAAACATAAGGAAACAAATATCGGTTATAGGCAGGTACACAATTTAGATAACTGCCGTCAGACAGAAGTGAGTAAATAGTTTTATAGATTAACATGTATTATTAAACCCATAACAAGCCACATTGTATCTGCGAAGTACCTATGTAAACACGCGTTTTGCCACAGTCCCCATGCGGTAACGTTCACATTGCTGTCGAAATTCCGGGATTCCAGGCTGGCAAAGTGCTCATCTGTCCTCATAGGGAAAGACAAGTGCTGGCACACTTCAGAAAATGATGCCACACTGTAAACACACACATGCTACAAGCAGGAAACCTGCTCATTACGAGTAAAGAAACGAGCATTACCTTGGAATACAATTTGGTGACGAGCCATCTATTTCCCAAGTGGCGAACAGGTTCATCGGTACAGGTCTGTTGAGCGCCCCGCTCCCGGGAAAGCTAAGCCGGCCACTTCTCTCCGCCATGGTGCAGGATAGCAAAGCTTTACCAACAGCGTGTTATGTGAAAAAATATGAGGAAAATATACAGTCACTTAAATGTGTCTTTAATGAGAACGCACGATAGCTGTTATTACGATTTGTTGGTAGGCTACAGTTTAATGCATATAGCATGACAACACGTTCACATCTCCCTGGCCGTTTCCATGTCGGACTCTTTAGGTGCCTGCAATACCGCACACTCACCAGCAGCGGCAGGAAGTAACGTCACTGCAACTACTGAGCAGAAACGCTGCAAATCCCATAACATTTTCTTCTTTCATTTTATTTGTCTGCGGTTAACACTTAAATATGCTTGCTTGCATTAAAATATGTATACAAAATCTTATTGCATATTAATTACAGTATGTAACACTTACGCATATATCGACGATATCCACTGCGGTATTTTAAAAAGACTATTTATGGTAAAGATCAAATAAACTATACTCTATACTAGGGATTGCGACGTTTATACGTGTTTGTCGTATGTTATGTTATGTTAGGGAAGTGTTGCTACTTGATGTCAAACATTTTATTTGTTGTTAGATTATAATTATACAAAATATAGCTAGGTAATACAGAGATGACCTAAATCATTCTGTTCGCAATGTTTCAACTATTATATTAAACAAAAGGACACTCTTTTCTGTTTTCAAGGACCAACAGTACATATCGTCCTGTGTAGGGCCGCGGTGACGCTAGAGCTTATCCTAGGAATCACATGGCGCGAGGCAGGATACACCCTGCACAGAAAGCCAGTCCAGCACATATATCTAGCACAGGCAGATGCACTTGGAGCGATTTAGATACCAATCAATCCTTTTGAAGTACAAAACACCATTAACTGAATCAATAAGGTCCCAACTGAGCAAAACGTTTCACGCTTACTTTAGTAAACCCACGTTTGGAGCCTGCGTCTGTGGTCACCCTTCCCATAGAAATCGGTTTAAGTAAAACGCCCTGATTTAAGTATATTATATTTGTCAATGACATCCGTTTCAGTTGGTCGATATAAAAGGCAGCTGCTGCCAGTACCCTTTAATCAGTTTTTAATCTCGGAATACTACAATTAGTTTTTTCGGTTTCAATTTTGAATAGTCTTGCTGACTAGTTGCCCAAGAAAAGAATTACGGCTGTATGTCCAACGGCGCCTGCATGAATTTTGATAGGGATGGTCATTAGGGACCATTTGTATTTATAGGAGTGGCCGCCCTTCTCCGTCTCTTCTATGGTTCTGCTTGGAAAATAATCCATATTTATTACGTGTATATTTTTTGGTGCGGGATGGTTCCAGGGGTTGCCACGCACAATAATCACTGTAATTTGCAGACGCTTTGTGTATAGCACCATCTACTGGAAACCCAAAGCCTTACACGCACTACCGTTGCAGTATTAAAGGATGAAATTGATAGCGGAGATACAACTAAATACACGGTTAAATAAAAATGACTGCGTTTATAAAACACCGAACAAAAGATCCAAATTTGTAAAACAAGTTTCCATACTGTAAATCGGCACCTGGTAAGTCCAGCGGCAGTAATATATATATATATTTTAAAAATAACTGCAAAATGTCAGCTAAGCAAACAAAGGTATCAGAAAAGGGTGACAAAGCAGATCGTTCTTTATTTGGTGCACAGTACCTTGAAAATGTCGCTCCCCCCACACAACTTTCACAATGTTTGATTAACCAACTGAAATTAAACCCAAACAATTTTGAAATTAGAGTGTGTCCATATGGCATAGTTCACCTGGTACTACAGGCAAGCACTTACCAACCGAATTACCAATTACAATTACTTTATGGTGGAGGTCTGATCGTGGGAATAAAGGGCCATTACATACAAAGTCTTAAAATGAATAGGATGCATAATTACCTTCAAACCTTAAATTTTCCAGTTCGGCCAATAGCAGAAACTTAAAACAGCCAATTTTGCAAGGAGAATCGAGTACTATCATGGACTAAAATAAATATACTATTAAAATAGCCAAGCCTACAGTGGGTACACTTACATTTATTTCTCACCTGCATATACAACAATATTAATAGCAAAAATTTTTCAAACCACACAAATAAGGTAATTATGAGGGGGAAAGATGAGTCATTTGGGTACATTGCATGAAGGTAAATAATTCATATAGTTGACCATAACGGCCCCTCAAGATGCTGAGAAAATAGAAAAAGTCTTATTTCAAAGTATTACCATCAATCTAAGGGAGAATGTTGCTTACTTGGGTTACAGATAAATTTAAAAGAAAATTGCAGACTTCAATGGTGTAGTCACATGCTAGCAGACAGAACACCACTGCTATTCGAGAAAGAAAAGAAACATGGGCGCATCAGGTCACAGTCACTCGTCAACAGACAGCAGCAGCATCGCTGAGGACTGCTGCAGTGGACATAGAATGGTCTTCCTCATTCTCTAGCTTTACTGTTGGGTCTGAGAGGGTGAGCGGGACTGAGACTTCTTCCTCTGTGGGGGGGGAGAGCAAGAGCGAGACCTAGAGCGGGACAGGGAGCGTGGCGCTGCACGGTTAGAATTCTTCTCTGGAGTGCGGGTCAAAGAGCGGGAACGCGATCGGGAATGATTATGGCTCCGGCTCTGGCTCAACGACTTGGACCGTGATCGAGACAGGGAGCGGCTTCTGGAGCGAGAATAGCTGCGGGACCGAGAGCGACTCCTACTTTGATAAGAGAAGAGGAAGAAAAGGAGGGAAGGGGGGGGGGGGGGGGGGGGGGGGGAGAGGGAAAAAAAAAAAAAAGATTAAACGAAATTCCTCCTATAATCTATTTTGGCCAGACATCTACAAAAAAATAAACTGGTTGTCGATAACTAGCAAGGTTACATCATGATGCATGAAGGAAATTTAAAAATACATACTTTCTCTTGCGATCCTCAGAGAGCTTCAGTTTGCGTCCATTCAGCTCTGTTCCATCTAGTTTATCAATAGCATTCTTCATGTCGCTGTGAGACGCAAACTCAACCACCCTGGTTAGACAGAAAAGCACACGGGGCAAAGGTACTGACACCAGTCTTGAGCAGATCATGGAAGTTAAGCAGTTCTACTTGTATTAAGCAATATTAAAGCTGATGCACAGTCATGTTCCCTCCACAAAACATCTAGTTTTCACACTTACCCTTCATTTTTGTTGGTTCTGTGAGCATCCACAAAAGTAACCTCTCCAACTTTCCTCATCAAATCTTTCAGGTCCTGCGCCATAAATTAAATTATTAAGATGGAATAATACAAACAAATCTTAACACCTTCTACAACCAAGAAGTTCATTTAAAATTAGAAAAATCCACCTTAAAAAAAATGAGATGAGGCAGCACAAATACATATGCAACAGCCCCTACTTCTGAAGTCCAGGAAAGTAACCAAAATGAGCCATTTACTCAAAACATCCCCAATCTGCTTAGTTAACAAGCAGGTGGAGCAAGGAAACTGATACTATGAGAAAGACGATACCTCAGAATTTACCTATTTAGTCCAACTTCAAAATTTGAGATTAAATACAAGTTAAAATAAATCCAAAAATAGGTTGATAAGGACAGGGGATGCAAAAGGAATGAAGAAATATGCTATTTTTCAAATGAATTTTAGTTAAATAAAATTTCATCTAACCTTCAGAGCCTAATTTATCAGAGCTTCATGCAAGCATTTGTCTTGCACTTGACAAATGTCAATTATTACCAGCTGAGAATTTGCATTTTTTTTTTGCCAACTATAGTATTATCCATTTAACAAGCAATCCATTCCCCATTCTAGTTTTATACCCTCCCCCCATCGGTATAACAAAACTCAATCATGTGAGTTATGGGCTACTTACCGTTCCATACCCAGGAAGACATTAGCAAACAGCCACTTGTCCAAATAGCAAATCGGAACCAATGCAGTGTTAAGCCCTTGAGAAATGACCGTAGCCTTGTCTCGGAATCCAACCTCCACAAGTACGGAACCAGACAGCAAGTAGGAGGGACGCACCCAGCTGTCAACATCCCCATCGCCAGCAACAGAAAAAGACCCAAACAGGAGAGCGCGTGGACGTGGTTGGACGGGGGGGAACTGCAGGCGGGGATGCCAGACCACAGACCCTCCAGACTGTGGCTACATTCCTCCTAAGGCTATCCTGCGCTAGACCTCTTTCACCCGCTATGGGGCCCAGCCAAGATATAGACCACCGGCAACTGTGTGTAGGGAGAGGCACCACATGGACACTATTCAGGGCACAACCAGGAGAAGACGCTATGCACATCAGACACCTCCCCTGCCCAGTCGATACATGGGTCCCAGCATGGGAAGGGGGGCCGTGCATACAACTCCATAACAAGAGAAATCAGACAAGAGCAGCTGTTAAAAAAACAGAAGGTTTAAGATGTACTTGGTTAGATTAACCTTTGTGCATAATCAAAGATGTAAAGATTAAATACAAGATAAAAATTGCTCTGCCAACTGATCATTCTATTAATGTAATCCATCGGACTTCATAGGTTTACTGATTCCATGTGTCAAAAATAAAAAAACCCTTACCATATAACTGACATTCATGTCATTAACGAAAGCTGCTTTATATAAAAACTATGGTATGTCATTAAATAGATTCTGTTCAAAACAGATTTGTTGTTAAACAAATGGAAATTTTCCCTCACCTGCCAGCTGATCCGAGATGAGAGATTCTCGACAAGGAGTCTGTGTTCTGTGCGTACAGGTGGGCCATATCTAAGGAAGGAGTTCAGAGTTAACTGAAGGTCAAATGCAACTTAAATTCACAAGAGGTTCAAGGTACATATTAGGCTAATCGTGGCCAAGGTGCTTAGTCAGTTATAAATTGGTAGTTTGAGAACATTTTCATTTCTCAATTAATTACACCAGCACAAGAGAGTAGTTAAGACGAAGAATGTCTTTTGGCTCAGTGATACCGAACTCCGATATGTTGCTGGAAAAACACCCAAACTGCCCAAGCAAGTTAGTCTCCCCATGGCATAGGAGCACTGGCATGAGAGTTTGATATTGAGAGGACAACTTAAATACAATTTATACTATTTATTTGGGGGGACGAATGAATCCAAATTAAATATTGGGGGTCCCAGCTGCATTAAAATTACACTGAACCATATATTTTGTTTGTTGGACATCTATTTTCTGAGCATGTACATTTACCTCAAAGCAATTTTCATGATCATACAGGATTTGGATTTAAATTTATTGAGTCAACTACAAGCACTCAGTACTTAAACACAAATTAAAAATGTCCTGTTCTGTTACACAAAGCTGCAACATAGGACTCGTCATTTTCATAAGTGAACTTCACTAGAGTACAAAAACAACCCGGTATGTTAAAGTTCGGAGATTATTCTTGCCGATCCCTTGCTAGAAGAAGCTACAGCTTTCCATTAG